CTTCCTAGAACCATATCAATATTGGTGTTCTTCTTAGGTAAATCAATGTTTTGATCGCCCTCGCGCAGTCCGTTTTATCATTCAAGGTCGTTTGGACAAATTCGTCGATAATTGAGCCTATTTAACTCTGATTTGTGTGATGTGACGAATGAGATCCTTTGATCCAATCGAAGCCATCCGACAGAAAAAATGTCGAGCGGTCTTCGCCTAAGCGAAAGCCAAAGTCTAGCAGAATGACCCTGGCAGCGTGCCCCTCAACACACGCTGAAGATTCTCATATAGATGTCTCGAGCTGTGAGAAACAACATATACGTGAAGCATGACCCTGTTGTACTCATGTGGACATCTCATGCATACGACATCAAAAACTGATGCCAACACATGCTATGGATCCCCTATTTATAAAAGAGAGGATAAGAAATGTGAAAAACTACACATCTGCATTTGCTTTAATAAGGACATGATGGAACATTATTATTTTTTGTCGTGTCTTTTTGTGTTTGTACCTGATTTGGGTATCCTTTGATGTTTTTGGACCTTCTGGTTAGGAGGTCTTCAAGTCGGCTGACCAAGCTAGTATTGGTCAGCTATTTTGCCTGGATGTAGACCTGCCTTCGCTCTAGGAAGCCAATCGACTTTGAGAGAGGCAGTCAGTTGGCCTAAAGGTGGCCAGTCAACCTGCTTGTTCAATGGTTATTTATGGAGCTCTTTGAAGATTTGTTTGGGGATTTATTGAAGAGCTTCACGTTAGTGGTGGTGAGATTGTTGGGGTCATAGAACATTGTTCGGTGTTTGGTGTGAATATTTATCTCTTGTTGGTCAGTCACTAGTCTTCGGCTAGCTAGCTTTTGGTCAGCTAGCGGTGCTTCAGTTGATCGGCTTTATGTGTACTTGTAGATTTTCATCAAAGGGATGCTCATCAATTTGTCTCTTTTAATCTAGACCGTCAAATTGTCTCAAGATTCGTGCATACTTGTTTTGAGTGTACAATTATAAAATTACTAAAATCAAAATTTAAATGATTATGAACATAATTCTAAATATATTTTAATCCAATATTTATCGAGATTCATGCTTAATCAAGTGAATTATCTGGTTACATATCTATGGTAATATTAATAGTGATTTAATTAAATTTGACTTGGCTCAGGTCCATCGTAACCGCTGTAGGTGATATCTTAAATAAAATCATATGTAATGACAGCATGATTGCATGTATGACAATGAATTTAATTTTTCATATGTGATGAACAACATTAATTTACAAAAAAATTAACTTCTTTTATAGATGAATATATCAGACATGGTTGAAAATGTCTTGGTTTTAATTGATCAACTTCTACCCTCTTCTCAATTTGCAATAATATTGCTCCAAGTGAGAATTACTAGAATAAACCAAAGAAAATCATATATTTGCTGATATGTCCAACTTCAAATAAAAACTAAATAGTGCATTTTTGTATACAACAACAAAGCCTTAATCCCACTACGTGGGGTCGGCTACTTGAATCATCTTTCTCCATTGCGTCCTATTTAGTGTCATATTTTCATTTAGTTCTAGTAAATTAAGATCATTTTTAATACAATAAGCCCAAGTCTTCCTAGATCCACCTCTGTCATTCTTAACACAAGTCGAATTTAAAACATCTACTCTCCTAATCGGATCATCTAATGGTCGATGTTTACTATGACCAAACCATCTAAGACGACTTTCTCTAATTTTGCATTTTTGTATGCAAAATTAATAAGTAATTTTGAAAAATACTAATAATTCATCTTCTATTTGTATTCTTTATGGTCAAATTAGATAAATCTAAATATTAGAATCTTATTTTCAAAAGGTGTGGCATGGCCTGTGCTTACCATTTCAAACAATAATAATGTATAATAAGTGGAAAATCAAGTATATATTAGCTAAGAGATGAGACAATATTAATCATCATAAATATATTTAAAATATTTTAGTCAAGCTGGTTGTCAAAGAGGCAGAGATGCCAATTGATCTTAATGGAATCAGCTGCCATCAACATCATGTTTACGATCCTTTTGTGTTAAGAGGGTTTAGAAATGATATAATAGAAAGCAATAATTTACAAGAAATCTTAGAAAAAAGTGCGTATCCAAGATTTTGTTTGAACGATGGAGTTTTATGTATGTTTCTGGTCAAATTTTTTGAAGGTAGATGTGATTATAGATGAGGTGCAAACTCATAGATTTCACCCTCATTTGGTGAGAATGTTTAATATCTGGGGTTTGAGGTTTCAAATAGTTGCAAACTTTTATGATTAATTATCTATCTCGATGGTAATAAAGTATTTTTAATTGAGACTAGTCATTAGAGTGTTGATTGCTAAGTGTATTGTAGTATCAATTATATATTAGATTATAGAAGCTTATCATAGTGAGCAAGTGCGTTGATGATGGAAAACAGATAGCAAATTTTTTGAAGGTAGATGCGATTGTAGATAAGGTGCAAACTCATAGATTTCACCCTCATTTGAGGAGAACTTTTAATATCTGGGGTTTGAGGTTTCAAATAGGTGCAAGGTTTATGATTAATTATCTGTCTTAATGGTAATAAAATATTTTTAATTGAGATTAGTTATTAGAGTGTTGATTGCTAAGTGTATAGTAACATCAATTATATTTTAGATTATATAAGCTTATCATAGTGAGCAAGTTCCCTTATGGTGGAAAACAGATAGCAAACCAAATCAAAGGTTTAATGGTTTTTTCATCCTTATTATAATGGACCCTTGTTTATTTAGCCAGATGAGGAAATTGACTTAGTTTAACTGTAGAATCCTTGTCAGCAATCATGTGTTGAATAATCCAAGGTGGCTTTATAAACTTGTACTAAATGTTTGTCTCACGAGACAAATTTAAGCCATTCTGAACTAATAGAGGGTTTTATGCTCTATTGAGTATACCTTATGATTTTAAACTTAAAAGGGCAAGAGTGAATTGGGGAATATATAGGTTACAATCATGAGTTTAATATAGTGGAGTCGTTGTGCCAAACACTCACTCAGAGAGCTCTAGTCTTGACCACTATATTGGTGGATCGGTTGAAATGAGGATTGGGTTGGCCAATGTGAGCTTATGAACTCGTCTTCTATTTAAGATGATTTGCTCAAGAGCTTGCATAACTTAAGTGTTGTAAATTTGACTTTTGAAAAGTAGATTTTTGTAAATATTAAAAAAAATTTGCATGCTTCTTGAGGTAGATTAGATTTTTGCTTAAGCATATGTTTAAATCACATAAGATCTTCATACACTTAAGTTTAAGAACTTATAATTATCAATAAAGCACAAGCGGGTGAGTCAGAATCATATATCAAATGCTTCATAGTAATTTACACTTCTTTTAGAGCAACCTACTGTAATTTTGAGATGTAATATGTGCATTTAAGATTATTTAATGAATCACATATAAGATTGAAATCATTTAGATTTGGCTATATATTTGAATGCCATAATGAATGCAAGACTTCATTTTAGATCTCCAAGAAAATATTTGTTTTGTTAGCTTGTACATATGTGTTGTGTTGTTGATGGCTTATTTGGGTCACATAGATGACATTTGGCCATCATTAGTGCAATTTTTTTTTTGTAGTATTCTTTATTTTAATAGCCTCAAATAGCTCTATCATTGAGACTCACAAAGGAGTCATGGATGGTAGAGAGTGAATCAAAGCCGATCAACATTCAGCACATTCGACTTCCCTGTTATGGACATGTTTCTCAAGAGAATGCATTCCCTATTTATCAGGGAAGCATCATAGTGTTCCCACCCAACAAGGTGAGCCTTTTCTCTTCTTAGGGGATGAGAGAACCATTTTTGGATCCATTGTTAGCATTGGTATCATAGTTGTACACATCCATGATAACATTAGAATTGGTGAGCTTTAGCAGCTCACCTAGAGTCCTTTGTTGTTAAAGAGCGAGAGAATGACAGAATGGTTTTTTTCCAAATCCCTTGAGCTAAAGTTGCATGTGCAAAGCTAGCTCAAATTCCTTGACTTCAAGTATCCCTCATAGGAAGTGAGTGATGAAATTCCTCAACAACTCGTTGTGCTTTTGTCACATCTTTAGCTGAGCGACCCAATTTTTTAGTAGTTTATGGGCTTTAGCAAATTACATTATGAACATTTGCTTGAATTAGGAGGAGGTGAGTGAGCGTGAGTGAGCCAATGTAAGGCATACTCTCTTCGGGTATAAAGAATAAACAATATATTAGGGTCTTATTTATGTGGAGCATGGAGACCCCTTCTTTAAACGGTCCAAGGGATCCATCTTCCTCGTTTATGATTTTTGATATGACATCAACAAAAATTTTCATTTGACACGAAACTCAAGGAGAATATGGATCTAAAAGCATTTTTTAGTAAGAAAGTTCAAAGTCCATTTAAAAATCATCTAGAACTTCAAATTTAGTAAACTTATAATCAAATTAGTTGGCTAGACAAGATGAACACAATGACACTAAAATTATCTGGAGTACATGATTTTCTTCAAAGTAATCTATTAGGGTGACCCGCCAACCTAACTCGTCAATGTGTCAGTTGTCTTTCACTTCTTGCCCAGCTAATTTGTTGAACTGGCTTGGCGAACTAGCTTGCCAAACTAGCCTAAAAATTATATATGATGAAATGACCAATCAGATTCACAAACCTTGCTTGTCACTCGGCCTTCCTCATAACTACAAGAACACAAAAGTCAGAACTAACGCCGATTAAAATATGTCACATCATTTATGAGTCGTCTAACACAACGACACCATCATTTCATCAAGTCCTCTTCTTTCACCTTCCTTACATGTATGAACTCACTGATCTTACGGGACCGGGGGATCAAAAAGAATTCAAAACGAAAGACTAATTCAAATTAATTCTCCTCTTTCACTATAAATAGGGAGCTCTGAAGCTGGGTTTGGAGCAGGGAAATCGCATATCTTTATCCGATCAATTTCCGGTGGGTTATATAAATATAACGGCCAAATGCGGCGGGTGGCGGTTGTGGGTGCGGGGATCTCCGGCCTAGCGGCGGCCTATGAGCTCGCGAAGGCCGGCGTTGAGGTGGCGATTTATGAGAAAAAGGAGTGTCTGGGAGATCATGCCCGCGTAGTTAATGTTGATGGCGTCGATATTCATCTCGGATTCACTGATTTTAATCCGGTCAGCTTTCATCGTCTTTGCTAAGCACTGTTTCTTATGATTTGTGATCATTTACCAATCAAGCATTCAAAACATTATAAATTTAGCCTTATGATTATAAAAATTATTAGAGTAATTGTAGATATGGATTTATGACTTTTAGGTAGGGCTGTAAACAAGCCGAGCTTGAGTGAGCTCCGGCTTGGCTCGTGTTCGGCTCGTTCGAAATAGCTCGTGTTCGAAATCGGCTCGTGAACAATGTGTTCGTGTTCGGCTCGATTTAAATATTCGAGTTCGTGTTCGGCTCGAAATTGGCTCGTTAAACTAAAATTGAGAAAAATAGATGTAAAGTGTGGGATTCGAAACTGTATCAAATATATACAAAAGAAGATACTAATCACATTGCCACATGAGGTGTTATGATTTAAACTTAGACATAAATATATATAATATATTATTATATAAATAATATATGTAATATATTGTTATATAAAAAATTATATAATTTTTTTTTCGAGTTATTTCGAGCCGAACACGAGCGACCAAACTGTGGTTCGTGTTCGGCTCGTTTACATTTCGAGCTTAAAAATTTGTTCGTGTGCGGGTCGTTAGGCTTAACGAACGAGCAGAACACGAGCTGCTTAACGAGCCGAACAAGAGCTGTTCACGAACAATGAGCCAAATTGACAGCCCTACTTTTAGGAGAGAAGATAAAATTTTAATATTATATATGTGTTTACATTTTTTTTTCTTAATTTAGAGAGAGACTCTTTTTGTTTTACCACAAATAAAGGTGTAAATTGAGTGAGTTGACTCGTGAGTCGATTTGGGCTCCCCTCGCAAAGTGGCTTGCAAGCTGAGCTCAATGATCGAACACGACAAGTTCAAGGAAGCGCTCGGTCAACTCATTGACATGTGAACGAGCTCATTTGAATTTAAAAAAAAAAATTACTATAAAATAAGCTAAAAAATTTGCTACAATTTTACACTTTTAAAATTTTATAAAAAAGTATTTAAATATTATATTATGTATAAGTGAATTTTTATTATTTATGTTTTAATTACTCATTTCATTTATTATTTTAGTATAATATTAATTTGACTTAATATTATTTTTTTATAATAAAAAAATTGACTCAAATTCATAAAATTAATATCGAACTCAAGCTTAAATTTAATTATTTAGCAAGTCATCTCAAGCTTAACTTTAATTAATTAGCAAAAGATTTAGTTTTCCATATAATCAAAATTATATGCTCTATCAT